AACTATAAAAAAAAGAAGAAAAAAAAAAGAAAAAAAAAAAAAAGAAAAAAAAGAAGAAAAATAAATAAAAAAATACATACTGTAATAATAGTGCAAGTGGTATACATATATACATATTTAATTATAATTTAATTAATATAATTAATTAAATTGAATTAAATTAAATTAAAGTAAATTAAATTAAATTAATTTAATTTAATATAAAAAGAAAGTTAAGGAATTAAGAATAGGAAGGAGAAGAAAGAAGAAGAAAGAAAAAGAAAGAAAAAGGAGGAAAAAACAAGAAAAAGAGGTAAAGAATAAGAAAAAAGAAGAAGAAGAAAAAAAGGAGGATAAAATATAAACAACAGCAACAAGACCAATCAATAATAATTAAATAAATAAATTAATTAAATTAATTAAATTAATTAATTAATTTAATTTAATTTAATTTAATTAAATTTAATTGTATTTACTTTTCTTAATCCTCTAGGCTCAGCAACCCTAAAGAAGAAAAGTTTATTTAATTTTTCTTCTTGTGTAATAAAAAATCTTTTGTTTTGTTCAATCCAACAAGAAAAAGAAGAAAAAGATTTATTTTGTATTTCTGCACATTTTAATAGATTTGCTAGTACTACACGTCTTGTTCTTGGCTCTATTACACGTCTGTATATATATATATATAAATACATAAACAGAGAAAAAAAAAAAGAGAAAATATATATTCTTATTTATTTATCTAGTTATTTATCTTATTAGTTTTTATCTAGCTTTTTGTTGTTTTAGGGGGGGGAAAAAAAATTCATTTTTCTATTATTAGGAAATTAGGGTTTAGGGTTTAGGGTTTAGGGTTTAGGGTTTATAGGTGTAAGAATTCTGTCGGATATATTTCATTATAATAATCTAAAAAGACGATTTATATTTTTATTTTATTTTTTTTTTTTTTTTATAAAATGAGAAAATTAGGGTTTAGGGTTTACTAGGGTTTACTAGGGTTTAGGGTTTAGGGTTTAGGGTTTAGGGTTTAGGGTTTACAGGTGTAAGAATTCTGTTTGATAGATTTCGTTAGGATAATCTAAAAAGACGATTTTTTTTTCTTCTTTTGTTTTTGCTGTTAACATTTGCGCCTTAAGAGGAAGACGGGACTCACAACTAAATCCTTCTATAAAAGGACGCTAAATATACACACACATAATATATTTATTTATTTATTTATTTATTTATTTATTTATTTTATTTATTTATTTATTTATTTATAGTATAATTACTTTATATACAATCGAACCCTAAACCCTAAACCCGCTAAACCCTAAACCCTAAAACCCCTAAACCCTAAACCCGCTAAACCCTAAACCCTAAACCCTAAACCCTAAACCCTAAACCCTTACTGTTCCTCCTCTGGTGAGTTCATCATCCCATAGAGCAATTTCTGCCTTTCTTTGTTCTTCTGTTGTATTAGATATTGCCCATTGTCTTTGTGTAGTTATCCAATTAAGACACCAATCTACTGCTTCCTCAAAGGTAATTGCTGCTTCTGCTGCTGCTGCTGCTGCTCCTTCTGCTGCTGCTGCTGCTGATATATCGCTACGAGGAGAGAGAGAAGAACGATCGTCATCATCGCTTTCTTCTTCGGTGCTGCTGGCGGAAGGAAGGGAGGCGCTGCTGCTGTCACTGTTTGTTGCCTATAAAAAAAAAAAAGAAATAAAATATTAAATTAATTTAATTAATTGAATTAATTAATTGTTTATTTAAATAAAAAAATAAATATACATTTATAGCAGCAAATAAAGAAAAAGGAGAAGAAAGCAGCAAAAAAAAAGTAGGGGTGATTTCAGGTGTATGTACACCTCATGATTACCTCATCAGATGATGATGAACCACTAGAAGAACTCCAATTTAATTTTTTTCCTTTTTCTTTCTTTTGTTTATTTTCTTCTTTATTTTTTAATAAAGAAGAAGATGAATTAGATGAATTAACTAAAGAAGAATCATCTTCTTCGTCATCATCATCCTGTCGTTGTCGTAGTCGTAAACGCTGCAAAAGAGGAGAAGGCGTTTTTGCCTCTTCCTGCTGCTGCTGTTGCTGCTGCTGCTGCTGCTGTGAGTCCTCGTCCTTCGAGTGTACAGGCAGCTGGTCTCCTTCAGGAGACGAGGAGGTGTTGCTGCTGCTGTTACCAGGTGTCACTTGTTGACGTTCAGGTGTACGTACACCTGAATTTATTAAGGAAGAAGATGCAACTTCTTCACCACTCTCATCGTCACTATGAAGACGTCTACGGAGCCTCCCCTTCCTGCATATAAATATATAAATAAATAAAATACATAAATATATATTCAATGGACAAATATAAAGGGGAGTTAATTGCTGCACATCTCCTCCCTTCTCCTTGCAAGTAGAGTGTAATTCAGGTGTACGTACACCTCAAATATAGAGGAGGATTCAAACTTACCGTCGTGCGAGCTGCGGAGAGTCTGCAGAGGGAAGATCTTCTTCCATTTTCTCCCAATATAGGAGAGGGTTACCTCCTGGTTAAAAGGAGCCAATCATACGTTCATAATAGACAAAAGAAGAAGAAAAGGCAAAAAAAAGGAGGAAAAATGAGGGGAAAATACAAAAAATGCAAGAATATGAACGGCCCTGCAGAAGACGAGGCAGCCAACGAGAGCCAATGAGGCTATGCCATGCAGATCTTAGGGAGTATTAGCGGGATAAATAAGAAAAAGTAATCGTAATATATATTGATTTAAAGATATAAATTATATTTTTGAAGAAATTAAATCGTTAATTCAATAATTTACACCCCGCCGATGCCTCCCCCCTCATTATAACACGATAAACACGACAATGCAGATGATGGCCACCACCGCTGTCTGTCTGGGGTCGAAGGAGGGGAAAGTTTTTAATAAAATACGAAATATATGAATTATAAACCTCAAAATAAAAACCACTTTTCATCATATTCAATTCAGGTGGACGTACAGCTACAGCTTTCTACCACCTCAGGGGGGAGCGCGTGTTACTGTTGAGAGGTCGAAACGGCTGCTTTAATACTCTGGGACTGGGGCCCCACTGCAGTGCATGTAGGACTTTATTGAATTAAAATTCTCCAGTTTCAGACTTTTCCCCCTTATTTAAATAAAAATACCCGATTTTTTCTCTGCTTTCCCCATGCAGAAGATTATGATCCGCATGAGGTGCCTATACACCCGAAGATGATGCAAGATTCAAGTAACGTCAAGCATCCGTCGGCAGTTCCTTTTTTCTTACCTTTAATCATGTGAGTGTTTATTTTTGAGTATTTTCGACATGATTGAATATTCTTTGACAACATTTGTTGTCAGCTTTCCTTTTTTTCTAATTAAAAGTAAAGGAGAGGCAATTGGAAGGAGCGCAGTTACGGTTGGTTTCCGTGGTCACGGCAACATTCATACACCCCAAAACGCAGCGAAACCAACTTCTATTTGCCGATCTTCGTGTTTTTCTGACTTAAAATTCCCTTTATCTCTCTCACGACAAGCATCAGCTTCTCAATTTCCCTCCAACTTCCGCCTGTCGCGTTGTGCTTATCACCACTCTTCTCGCTTACAGCGGTATTTCACGAATCGTTACCACAAGAAGGTATGCCCTAAATGTAAAAGGACAAACATTTTACCTTCAACAAGTTGTTCCTTCTGTCTTACTCCTTTAAATGACCTTCATATACAGAGTATCGGCAAGGATCCTCTATGGGAGTTGGCGTTATCTCGTGGTGTTAATCATGACCAATCAGTACTCTTAAAGGCTAAGTATGAATATTTAAAGGAAAATAAATCAAAGAAAAATAAAGAAGGACTATTAAAGGAGATATTAAAGGACTTACCACAGCCTCTCATAGGTTCCCTCTGTGTTGGTGCTGCTGCTGCCGCTACAGCATCACCATCAGCAGCAACAGCAGCAGTAACAGCAGCAGCAGCAGCAGCAGGAGGAGGATCTCCAGGTGTAAGCGGTTTGGGTTATACAGAGTTATATCGTTCCTTTAATTTTGTTATAACAACAACTCCCTTTCCTTCTTCTTTTATTCATTTATTAGCAATTCCTCGTGCTTGTTTCTATGATATAAAACAGTTAAGAAAAACACATATTCCTCTCCTGCAGGCAATGAAAGAAAAAACGCATGCAATAATGGAGCTGCTGCTGCCGCTGCAGCTGCAGCTTCTGCAGTTGCAGCAGCAGCAACAGCAGCAACAGGTAGATGCAGGTAGTAGTATCCCTGAGGGCGCGCCTCTTTTGAGCAACAGAGAGCAGCAAAAGGAAGTAAAGGGGAAAACAGACAGAGAGGCAGCAGCCATAGAGTGCAAAATGAGCAGCAGCAGCAACAGCAGCAGCAGCAGCAACAACAACAACAACAAGTCGCTAAAAGGAAAGGAGAAGGAATTGCTGCAAATGGCAATATATGGATTTAATTATCCTGCAGAATATCGTCAAGTTTGCATGCATGCAATAATTCCTCCTTTATTTAATTTATCTTTATTTAATTTTCCTTTTTTTTATTCTTTTTATAAAACAATTAAAGATATACAAACATGCGGATCTGTACAAGTCTTCTCTCCTTCTTCTATTCTTACGTAAGTCAATTATTTATTTTATTTTATTTTATTTTTATTTTATTTATTTTTTTTTTATTTTCCTTTAAACCCTTTTTTAGGGTTTATGATGTTTGTTGTTGGCTCTGTGGTGTATGTTGATGGTTATTTTATTGTGGCTCTTCTGAGGGTTTAGGGTTTAGGGTTTAGGGTTTTGTTGTGTTTTTTTATTATTATTTTTATAATATATAAAATATATAGTTATGAGGAAAAAAATGACGATTTGTGTGTTATTTCTGTTGCAGTAGGGAAGAAGATTGGGGTGTACAGACAGCTAGGGAGAGTGACGCACGCGCTCGTCATTTGTTGCATTTGCCTTCTCCTTCTGTTTAATTATAAATACAATAATAATAATAATAATAATAATAATTATTATTATTATTATTATTATTATAAGACACCAATCTTATCTCAATTTGCCGGTGTGCATACACCTGAAATATCCGAAGGATTTTTCGTACAAATCTTTGCATGCAGGAAATAAAGAGGAAAAAGAAATAAATAAAAGAATTGCTGCAGCTGTATTGTTTATCTTTAAGTATATATACACTTAATATAGCTGCTGTTGCATTATGCTAGTTTGCATGCACGGCTCTAGGCTAAACCCTAAACCCTAAACCCTAAACCCTAATAAACATTTAAAAGGGCGAATAAAAAACGTTTTGATTGTTTTTTATTTTTTGTTTTTAAAGAATAAAATGTAAAGAAAATTTCTTTTCTGATTGGGGTGTATAGGCAGCTCACCACAGCAATACATAATAATAAATAAACTTTTTATTATTTTCCCTTTAAATAGACAACAATAAATAAAATGTTTAGGTATTTAATTAGACAAATATAATAAACAAATTTCTTTATAAATAAAAAGTTTAACTAAATAAAATTATTTTTTATTTCCTGCTACATTATTAGTGCGGCAATAAAAAAAAGAGGCATTATTATATACATTTGTTTATCTTTTATTTTATTTATTTATTTATACCTCTAAAGGAGACTTAATTCTCCTATTTAAATATTTATTTATTGCTGCTATATAATATAATATTATACAATACAATACAATTAATTATTTTCTTTTTCTTTTTTTCTGTATATAAGACGTAATTGAGGTGTACGTACACCTGAATATAACACTATAAAGTATCATAAGCAGAAGCCTCGCGATTATTTCTTTGCATTTTAATAAAAGTAAATAAGCCACCTAAAAGAAATAAACCGCCAATTATACCACCAGCAGCATACACATAAGGCATTGAGCTGCTCTCCTCTGTACACACATAACAGAAAAAAGAAAGAAAAAGAAAAAAAAGAAGAATTAAACAATATATATAATATTTAACACAAAAGTGTCACAACAAACAAAAGCAGAAATATAAAAAAGAAGAACAAACAAAACAAATATATTTATAATAAAATAAATTAACAAAGTTATATAAAAAGCAAGAGAGGAAGAAAAAGTAGCAACAAAGCAACAAAATAAAAAAAAATATAAATATAAATATAAATATAAATATAAATATAAATATAAATATAAATATAAATATAAATATAAATAAATATAAATAAATATAAATAAATATAAATATAAATATAAATACCTGTACATTCTTCATCATTACAAGATTGTGTCTCTGTTATATCTGGGCAAATTGTTCCCTCAATTGCTTTTTTTATTCTTTTTTTTATTTTTTTTATTTTTTTATTTTCTCCTTCTTTTATACAAATGCATGCAGACCAAGCTGTCCAATCCATATAGACACAATCAGATGCTGTACACACAAAAAAAAAGAAGAAAAAAAAAAAAAGAGAAGAAATATAATCATAAATAAATAGATAATTAATTATATTAATAATACTTTTATATGCTTATTAATATTATTTGCAGTGTACACAAGAGGAAACAGTAAACCTAGTAAGATAATAAATCCCTAAAAAGAGCTCTCTTTATCCTGTCATCCGCATGCATGCACATGCAACTGTATGCATGCATGCATGCATGCATGCATGCATGCATGCATGCATAGAGTTGGATGCAAGTGTATGTATATATGTATACATATATAGACTTACTACATGTGGATACATCAGGACATTGAATACTTTCTGCTTGTTGTTCTTCTTGTTTACATTTATCCTCATGACAATTAGGATCTTTTTCTCCTGTTATTAAGGGTACAGGATTCTGTAGTCTTCTTTTCTTTCTTATTTTATACCTATTACTACCACAAACGGGGCTGCATGCAACCTCAGACCATTCAACAAAATCACCAAATATACAACATGTTGCTGCATACACATACACATACACAAAAAAAAAAAGTTTAATTCAATTTAAAAAAAAGCCCCAAAATGCATGCATGCATGCATGCATGCATGCATGCATGCATGCATGCACGCATAGATAGACAGCTAGCCACCTAGCTAACTAGCTACCTGTCTATATATTTGTTATTATTATGCATTATAAATTATTATTGTGTTTTTGTGTTAATAAAAGTATAAATAAAGTTGTATATAATAATAATAAAATTATATATAAATAAATAATATATTAATAAATATAAATATAAATATATATATATATAATTATAGTGTATATAAATATACCATTAAATGTATTATTTATATCTGCAGAATTAAGAAGAATCCCTTCGCCACCACAAGAAGAAACTTCTATTATTTTTTTATCTATGTCCTTATTATCATCTATATATCCCCATGATAATACCTACACAGAAAAAAAAAAGAAAAAAAGAAAAAGAAAAAAAAAAGAAAAGAAAAAAAGGGAAAATAAATAAAAATAAAGAAAACACAAGAAAAAATGAAGAAAACAAAAGAAAACAAGTAGAAAAGGAAAGAAAAAAGGAAAAAAGACATTTAATTAATTAACTAATTAATTAATTAGTTTAATTAATTAATTAATTATTTTATTTATTTATTAATTTATTTATTTATTTATTTATTTAATTTACTTCTCTTCTTCTTTTCTTCCATCCTTTGATTTGATCGATTTGATCACAACTACTCCAATCAGACCAATTACTCAATGATAATGTTGTTACTTCCTCAGCAGCAGCAGCAGCAGCAGCAGCAGCAGCAGCAGCAGCAGGAGAAGCAGCAGCAGCAGCAGCACCACGTGCTGCAGCAGGAGTAGGTGCAGCACGAGCTGCAGCTGCAGCTGCAGTTGCTGTTGTTAATACATCCCCACTAACCCATAAAGGATCTATCTGCATATTACTGTTATTATTATTGCTGCTTCTGCTGCTGCTGCTGCTGGTGCTGCTGCTGGTGCTGCTGCTGCTGCTGCTGCTGCTGCTGCAGTCCATAAGAGGTTTTAATTCACAGGATAAAGTGTCATTATTAAAAGAAAAATAAAAACAATCAGCATTTATATATGTCTCTGGATCCTCCCTGCGGTGTACATGCATGCACCCCAATAATAAATAAAATAAATAAAATAAATAAAATAAATAAAATAAATAAAATAAATAAAATAAATAAAATAAATATAATAAATAAACAAATTAAATCATTTATTTAAATTAATAACAAATTAAGAACAAATATATTAAATAATATATATAAATACTCATCGAGGGTTTATTAGGGTTTATGAATATTAGGGTTAATTAGGGTTTAGGGTTTAGGGTTTAGGGTTTAGGGTTTACAGATTTCCTCCTGTATTAATGAATTTATGTTTGCATTCATCGCTGCATTTTCTCCATCCGTTTGTTTCTGTTAATGTTTGTTTCTTATTATTAGGACAATAATGACGACCTAATTGTAGTCCTTTACCTAATAAATAAATAAATAAATAAATAAATAAATAAATAAATAAATAAATAAATACAATAAAACAATAAATTGTCATTTAAATCCCTAATAATATATTTAAAAACAAACACCAAAACAACATTCTGCCCTAAACCCTAAACCGTAAACCCTAAACCCTAAACCCTCGTCCTGCCTATACACTACAAAAAAAAAAAAAATAAATAAATAAAATAAATAAAATAAATAAAATAAATAAAATAAATAAAATAAATAAAATAAATAATAAATGAATATAATTTACCACAAGAAGAGTTTTGATTACAATCTTGAATTTGCCATAGAGGAGGACATTTATCACAGAAATTATCCTTGGTGTCTATACAGTGCTGTATAGAAGAAGAATATTCTTTTATTTGTCTATATTTTCCTCTTTTTCCTCCTTTACAATTTATATTACATCCTGTATTTATCCATTCATTAACAATACATGTTGTACAATTTCCTTCCTTATTTGCCGTCATACCTACAACACCTACTTCGTCTGCTGTTACTGTACACATATATATACACATTATATTTATTTATTTTATTTATTTTATTATTTTTTATTTTATTTTATTAAATAAAATTAAATTAATTATTATTATTACTAAATAAAGTTAATTATTACATACAAACACATGCAACATAACACATTAGTCTGTCTATTTGCACGAAGGAAGAAAGAGAAGGGAGAAAAGGAGAATGATCTATTTGCTTATTTAATTAGTTAATTAGTTAAATAGTTAATTAGTGAATTAACTAATTAATTAATCAATTAATTAATTAATTTATTTATTTATTTATTTATTTATTTATTGTTTACCGTCTCTTAGACATCCAATAAGTTGTGTAGGATCAATTTGTTCTTTATTATTAGCAAGACCAATAAGAGTACAGGTACCCTTATTATCCTCATTATTATTATTATTATTATTATTATTATTTATATTATTATTATTAATATTATTTTTATTAATAACCCAAGAAAAGAAAGGAAAAGAATCATTAATAAGAGATGCACATTCCCTCCATGTATATGTCTTATTATTATTATTATTATTATTATTATTATTATTTATATTATTATTTATAATAAATTTAGATTCTTTACAAGAAGAAAATAAATTAAAACTTTTTATTATTCCTTTTCTTTTCTTTTTTTTTGTTATT